GAAGAATTCTTGTCCGTACTTTTCCTGTATGGAAAGTTGTTGAACATGTTGATGTTTTATTGGTACGGCAAACCAATGTGGGCGATTGCTTATGCTATTGGATGTGGTGGTGAGCAGCACCCTTCTACCTATCAACTTTTGTTCTCCAACGCGATTCTGACCGAGTGAACTTTCTTGATTGCACGTAATCAGTTTTGTTCGCCGTCCTGCCACAGCCGGATTACAAAGGTAACACAAAGATAGTGAAATTAACCTTGGAAGATTTACGCGACATTCAGCGCAATAGTTATCAGGTTTCCAGGATCACAGAGATCAAGGATGACGATGACCTTGATGAAAAAGTAAAGGGCAAAGGAAAAGCCGAGAACGACAATTACTGGGTGGTTTTCTTTTATGTCACGTGGAGCAATGTATGCCGAAATTTCGAATCCACGGTTGCAAAGGCATCGTTAAAGTAGGTCACACAGTATGTGTTAATTCGCTATATTGAGAAAAACACTAGAGAAGTTTATGATCATAGATACACGACCCCAAACATTCATTTCGGGAAGTTTGATATTGATGAGTCACCAGAACTGGCACAAGAGTATGATATTTCCTCGGCACCAACTAGTCTGGATCTTCCCACCTTGATACTTCTCAAGAATGGGAAGGAGCACAGGAGATTACCTTGGAAGGTTAAAGATGGAACCGAAGAAGATCTGGATAGAATAAAGAGCGAAAAGCTTCGAAGTGCAAAGGTTATGTGGGATCGCCTGGGATGGGATCGGAGCATGGTAAAAACGATCATCAGTTCATTCCGGGAATCAAGATCAAAACTTTAGTAGCTGACATCCATCCTTACTTTGTAGGAATCGATAATCTCTGAATTTAAGCTTGACGCCTTGCACAAGTCAACATAAAATGATCTATTATGTAAATTTAAAGATAAAGCATTTCTGATTGTCGCACAAAGTGCAAACCGTCTTTTTAGTGCATTAGCAAAAACTTGCGCTACGTAGCTAATCAGCTAATCAATGGAAAACGGTGTTCTAAAATTGTCTTT